AAAAAAAAAAAAAAAAAAGATTCCTCTATCTCATCTTTCCTCATGGCCTCCACCCTTCTTTGTACCTTTCCGGCCCTTCTGCTTCCACATTGGCCATAGTCTTTATTTAATTTATTTTTAATTTTAGCCCAGACTAAGTCTTGGAATCCTTAAGAAAAGCTGGTGGACCATTGACCTCAACTGCACTCAGCTTCTCTGGTGTTTCCCATTTCAGGAAAGGGAACCACCGGGTTGCCCAAGGTCATCCTCAGATTTGCCTTTGACTCGTCTGTGTCTCCTCTGCCTATTCAATGGCCAAGTCTTTAGCATCTGCCTCCTAAATTTCTCCAGAATCTGGCCACATCTCCAAAGCAGCCCTGTCAATTAAAAAAATTTTTTTTAAATATTTTTTCACCTTTTAATTTTTAAAAATTATTTCTAGAGATGGAGGTCTCCCTATGTTGCTCAAGCTGGTCTTGAACCCCTGACACGCAATTCTCCTACCTCAGCCTCCCAAAGTGCTGTGATTACAGGCGTGAGCCACCTCACCTGGCTTAATTATTACTATTTTTTAATTTTTGTTTTTTTGAGACAGAGTTTCGCTCTGTCACCCAGGCTGGAGTGCAGTGGTATGATCTCAGCTCACTGCAACCTCCACCTCCCAGATTCAAGTGATTCTCCTGCCTCAGCCTCCCGAGTAGCTGGGATTACAGTTGTGCGCCACCATGCCTGGCTAATTTTCTATTTTTAGTAGAGACGGAGTTTCTCCATGTTGGCCAGGCTGGTCTTGATCTCTTGACCTTGTCATCTGCCCACCTTGGCCTCCCAAAGTGCTGGGATTACAGGCGTGATCTGTGCTTGGGCAATTATTTTTAAAACAGAGATGGGGTCTCGCTAGCAGTGACCAAAAACAAGACAGCGGGCATGGTGGATTTCTTTCACAAGAAGAGAGAGCCGAGGAATTAATGGAGTTTTCTAACTGGAAGGTTTCTGTGGTTACTGTATTTTCTCACATGTAATTATAATCTGGAACAAAGGCTGAGAAACTTGGGAAGATCCTGACCACAAAGGGCCGACCATCCAGTCACCTGCTTAGTTGTGTGCTGAGTTTAAAAGGCCTCTAAAATGCAGACTGATTTGCTCTCCAACTCACAGTTCTATTTTCAGAAGAGGTGAGGAGTTGGGGAGACCCAAAATGAATGATGGCAGAACTGGATTGGTTTATAATCCCTCCCCATAGACAGACAGACAGACAAAACCACTCACCTGGAAAACTCAAAATAGATGCTTGCTTGTAAAGTTTATTGACAACTGTTTGGTCCCAACACACAAAACAGCACTTGAACCACAACAAAAGTGTTCAAACAAAGTAGACAATTAAGAAAAACATCTCTTTCCCCCAAACCCAATCCAAAACAAACAGTGCAAGATGGGAAAGGGGGTTTTGGTGATAACTTTTGTCTTTTTTTTTAAACAGATAAATCTAATCTGGTACATTTTTCCACCCAGAAATAAAGAATTACATTGTCTTAATGTTCAAACATCATTTTACCACATCATTTAATTAAGCCTCTGGATAAAAAAATAGATAGCAATTGGACTGGCCATTGTAGAGTACATTATGAATACAACGTGCTTCTGACGTCTTCTCTCTCATTTTCAGACAGCAATTGTTAGAGTCACACACATGTCCCAGACTAAGCAGCAACTCCAGTGAGTGGTACTAAGACACACTCACGGGATGGCACAGAACTTGTTTCTTCTTTTATCTGTTGCTCAAAGAGCCTGTTCTTTGAGTCTGTTCCAGGTGACTTGTAATGATACCTCTTACGGTTTTAAAGTCCACCACTCTTTACATGCTAGCAAAACTCAAGTCCAAGCGTGCAAACTCAGCCTTATGAAATCTTAGAATAAGGCAACCGACTTTATTACATTGTTTAAAAGCTCCTTTAAAAAAATTGCACATGTGCATTTCACTTCCTGTAACACTATGTCTGTAGAGGAAATGCCTTCAGAAGGATTCCGAGAGTGCCATAATACTTAGAGGGTTTTCCATGTTGCTCTGTCTTGACTGGGCCCATGTGTTAAGAACTGGGAATCACTGGCTTCATTTAAAAGATTTGGGGAACAAAAAAACCGACTTGTAAAAATCTCTCTGTAGCCCTTATTTTGTGGCCTTTTATCAAAATGCTGGCTATGAAATCAGAGTCCATTTTCTGGCTTTCTAGAAGTTACAAAATAGAAACATTTCCCCCCAAAAAAACCATCTAACTAGTAGACCTTATGCCAACAGGTTCTTTCTGCTCTGCATCCGCCTTTTTTTTTGCCCGACAGATACAATCCATTGTAAATGTCAGGTTTCTCTAGGGGGCTGAGAGGCCACCCGTCGGCGGACAGCTCAGGCACCTGGAGAGGAAGGCTGTTCCACATCAGATGCCACAAAACACCCAGACATGCTTCCAACAGCGAGAAGTAACGAGAGTAAAATCAGACACGATTAAAAGATGCTGAGCTGACAAACACACACAAAGCTTCCCAGCTACCGAAACCAGCTTTAAAATTACAATAACATGGTTAAGTGGATCAACCTTGGCCTTCCCATGTGTAGGTAGAATTCCTGTCTCTTCCCAGTGGAAATCGTATTGACCCTGCTGCTGCTGCTGAAGCACCTCTCCACTCAGCTCTGATTTGTAATTTATGCACTTCATGCATATTTTAGAAAATCAGATTCTTCCCAATGCTGCCTCTTGACACACAAGAATGTGTGTTGTAATCTGAATGCTGACTACATGGTGTCGATCCATGACATCGAGACCATCTCCTTTTCCTAACCTACTTCGTATCCAACTGGAACACCGAAGGGAAGCTTAAAACATCCTCAACTTTCTAGAAAGCTCCTAAATGGAACCCCAAAGTAGAAACGTTTAAAAAAATTTGTGATGAAGCCACATTTGTCAACTACAGACATAGTTTAAATAAAAAACGAGGCACACTTACAAGTCACGTGGAAGCCAGGAATCTTCACATTCCGACCTGAAAATACACCCTCAACCCCTCACCTACTCTTCTCCTTCAGTGTGTGAACACGCAGGCTTGCGGGACATGCCACGCACTGCGTTAATACTCTTGGAAACATCAGTAAGCAAGGCCGAGAGACTATATATGCTACATGTAGGATGACACCACCGATGTGGCTCAGCGGAAGCAAACACCGCTTCCTGCTACTTGACTTCTTAGTGCTTGCTGCTTTCGGAACACCATCATATTTCATACAGTTACGAAAAATTTGGTAAAATACGTTAAGGATTCTTTAACAAATGCCACAAGTTCTTCAAATAATTGAAAAAAGAAAGAAATAGAAGAAAGAAAAGAAAGATTTCAGCTCAAAGCTGTGTTCAAGGTAAAAGAAAAAATGTTACAGAATACATCTAAGAAGGAGGAAATGGTTTCCAGGGGGTTCTCAGGACAACGGAAAAGGATGTATTTTTGAAACCCACTTTTGTGTGCAGAATCAGACAGTGTTTTCCCATTCTAATTCTATATTCAAAATGGGAGTTAAAGCTTGGTTATAGGTGCTAAGGAAAAGTTGGCTGCCAATTTTACTCTATTTTTGGGTTGCTTTTTGGCTGGGCTTTCTGCGGGGTCCCTGCTGAGCAGCAACTCTGGGGTTTCGGAGGGGCAGAGAGCCATGGGGACGGCTGCTGAGACGCAAGATGAGCTGGAGTCAGAGGTCAGAGTTCTGCTCTTTACTGGTATTGGAATCTCAATTTTTCCTTCTTGGTTTAACATCATAATTTCTGTAAACACAGAAAAGCAAACAGACTGAGTTCCAGGATCTGTAAGAAATGTGGAGTGTGGGTTTTCTGTTTCTTGCTCATATTTTCTCAAAAGATATTTAAAAAAAATAACCCTTGTGCTCACTTCGGCAGCACATGTACTAAGATTGGAATGATACAGAGATGAGCATGGCCCCTGTGCAAGGATGACACACAAATTTGTGAAGCGTTCCATATTAAAAAAAATAAAAATAAGAAAGCCCTCTAAATGCTACATCTATGCCACAGCTTACATATGAGTTGTGTGGCCAGTGTAAGCGGTACAGAAATCAAATACCTATAAACCGCATCCCACCTCTCCCGTTGGATTACAAAGTTGCAGAGATCTCTATTTTGAGCTATAAATTAATGAGCAAAGTTTAAAGTTTTTTTTTCCCCATTTTGGATTCTCTGCCCATTGATTCTCTCTGCCAGATATTAAGGACCCATAAACTATCCAAGACTTAAAGACTTCCTCAGGAGGTGGGGGGCAGTAGCTGGGGGTTGGGGGGTGGGGTCAGAGCATCTCAGTGTCAGGGAGCTCCTGGCCTATTCCATTTATACAGGACCTACGCTATCATGGGTCTATTACCAGGGATAAGAGTCAAAATTACCCTCAGAAACCAGAAAATGGAGTACAGCTTGCTCTCCTGCAGTGCTTCTACGCTGCCATTTCTGTGGCTGAGCCACACGTAATTCACCTGCTGCATACACAGGGCCACACGCTGCTTGAAACAGATGTATCATTATGCCTTAGACTCCCACTGTGCATGGCACGGGCTCCTGCTCCCAAAGGCCCATGGAAAGTAAGACTGGCAGAGGAGACAGCAGAGCCAGCACCCGCCCAGGCTGACCCTCACAGGGAAAGCGGCTGACACAACTACCCACACTATTTCAATTAGTTTCCTCTCATCAGGTGCATGCAGTTGAACTCACCCAGACTAAAGGCACAAAGGCCACAACCCCAAGAAAGAGCTAATATCCATCTGCCACCAACCCTAGTGAGGCACTGCAAAGGCACGTGGTGTGCGTCTACACCTGTTTGCACAGGCTGCTTCTATCTGCCGCCAGTTACACTCCCCATCTCCTATTTTCCAGGTCAACAGCCTCAGTTCTTTCACTGGGCAACAGGGCTGCACACTGCTGAGGACAACTCAGACGGTAAAAACCAAGTCAGGAGTCCGCGGGTTGTTCCTGGTGACCCAGAAAGCAGCATCAGCAGTGGGGAGGAGCTGGGTTCCAACGGGTGAAGAGCAGGGAAGAGCCTGTATGCGGCAGGTGGGCCGTCCTCTCCAGAGCCAGGCGACACCGCAGGACAAGAGGGCCTGAGTTCCAATCCCAGCTCTCCCCTTGCTAGCCCAGCAGCCCCGGGCCACTACCTCTCTAGTGATGCCACCAGCTGTGCCTCAGTCACACAGCCTGTGGAACAAAGCGGCCGCCCCATACAGAGCCCTGGTGAGAGCTGAATGTGATGGCGTCTGTCAGCTCTGAGCACAGGGTTGGTGCCAATGCCTGCCCTAGGCTGGGACTCAGTGTGCTCGGCTTCCTATCTGTTCTCAGATCACTGGGCACAGTCCAGGCGCTCCAGTCACAGATGGCTCCCTCCATTCACCCCTTTATAAAGCCCTTAGGCCCTCTGGGTCCACACCACAGGTGACTTGTATATCTGGTGGCAGGTGTGCCTCAGAGTGGCCAAACCTTCACAAAGTCTGGGAGAGCAGAGGCCCAGGAGGACCCTCACCCTCCCCTGTGGGCCCGTCCACAGCCCTGCACCACCAGCCCCCCAGAGCTGCCGACTGGCCCTTGCCTGAAGCTTGCCAGGCAACCTTGGGTTGTGAATCCAATTCTGCAGAAACTCAGGTGGGGAAAGAAGGTCGAATACTCAGCATAGGTGTTTTCCACCTGAAAAGGGGTGGTCTCCTCCCATCTCCATCAACCATTTACTGTATCAGCATCACACCACGGTTTTAGGTTTTAAACCCCAAAGAAAACCCCACAACAACAGGTGTCACCTACCAGAAGGCTCTTGAGGGTGCTCCTCAAACTGAATGAGATCAGCAGACTGGAGGACGACAGGGTCTGGTCTCAGTTGAGGGGATGGCAGGCACGAGGGTACAGGCGCACACAGGAGGTCGACGGGGGAGTCGTCGGTCAGGCGGAGAAGCTCCTGCTCTGTGTGACTGGGCCCTGGGCAAAGAAGGCGGGCTGTGACACCACAGGACCTCCACGCCCACCCAACCACACTCGCCGGATTCACACCGGAGGTTTTCCTTCTAAGCTTTAAAGACTGAGAGTCAAGAAATACTTAAGGTATTTAAAAAATGAAAAACAAACCAAAAAAACCCCAGAAGATCCTGATAATGGAATGCCTTATAAAGCCAGTTCTCCTGAAGACCTGTGTTCTTAGGAAAAGGCCCGAGCAGGGAAAAGGGTCCTGCAATCAGCTTCCAGAGATAGGGGACAACCCAAGGGGTGTGTATGGTTATCAGCATGCGGAAGCTCAGAATCTGAAGCCCTGGGCCCCAGTTCCCCGGCTTCCTAGCTGCCAACTCTGGGTAAGCTATAATACAGAACCGCCCGAGATTTCTGTCCCTCTGCTGCAGAGCACAGGCGAGCGCTGCTGAAGGCTGTGGGCCAGCTTAGGCAGATGATTCCCAGTCGGGTGCCTCATACAATGTCAAATACTGTGTAATGCAGTTATCCTAAGGGCACAGGGCACAGTAATGCGCTATCTATTCTCACCGCGCCATATGAAGACAAAATTCTCACCTATTACAATGAATTCAAAAGTCCCTCAGAAAAGTTAGAACTGCTTTAACATGCATGAGAGTTGGCCTCTCCTACAGAGGTGGATCGACCTGAAATCTATGTGACTTGGTGTAATTTTGGGTAATATTAATCTATTAGTCTATCAAGTCCTGCCTGGGACTACCCTGCAACAAAGACGTGTTGCCCAGGCTGAGTCAGGCTCCCTGAGCCCTCTTCTGAACCAGGCTTGGCCTTGGCCTTCCATGTCTGCTCTGAACTTGCCAGGCCCAGTCTTAGCTCGAGTCAGTTGAGTGAGAATCCCCTCACCCTTGAGATCTCATCACCCTTCATATCTGACCCAATTCCTTAGCCCCAAACACCGATGTCTAGATCCTTGGCCTGCCTGCCTATAGCAGGAATCTTCTTAGTAATTTTCCATCCGCTGAGCCCTCATCCTGCTCCTAGGCTATGTACTGGGAGTTGGCTCTCTCTCTCGTGTTCCAAGAGTGATGAATTTCCATTGTAACAAGTGTCAGAGTAATTTTTTTCTTCAACACCTGAACTGGGGTAAGATGATCATTATGGGGGTGCCAACATCCTTCAGAGACTTTAGCCAGTCGACCATGCAGTGCTAACAACATAGGTCAATTTTTCCTCTGTTACTAACTTAATACCGAAACTGCTTTAAAAAATGTATGGCTATTTAACTTTGGTGAATGAGATGACTTTCCGGAGTCCTCTCGCTTGCTCTCCCCGACCCCAAACCATTTCTCCTAGAATTTCACAAGCTCTGCTGTCTCTGCTCTTCCTTTCTTACCACTGCCGCCGGCACCAAGCTTGCGTTCCGAGGCTGTGTGCGGTTCGGACACCTCCAGGGTGCACGAGCCCTCTGAGGGCTGGTTTTCATGACTGGCAGGGGAGAGACTGAGTGAATTCAAACGACCTAGAGGACAAACAGCACCCGTCAGAGAGAAATGTCAGTGAGAGAACCGTGATTTTTTAAGGGGGGAGGGGATGGGTGCTTACTTACTTTTCATGTCATTTTTTAACACTACAATTCTCTTATGACCATGTCCTTTTATCCAGACCACCTGCACACAAGACATACTACTGGTTAAGCAGTGGAAAAGGAGGGACAGAAGCCCTAACATTCAGGAAGAGTGTGACCTATGGCGCCTGCCTGAGGCTAGAATTTAGGAACTGAGTTACTGCCGAGAAGCATGTTTCTCTACTCTCCCCTTAGCTTTTAAAGCAACAGAAGAAGCTGACAGAAACATGCCCCTATAAAAAGCAGAGTAGTTCAAAAATCCTGAGACACAGCTTCAGAAATATTCTTTATAATTCTTAAAAAGACTGTCTTCCAAACACAAGCTTTGGCATATAAATTAAAGTAGTTCTCACATGAGAGCTCTTGCCGTTTTTTTTTTTTTTTTTGCAGAAACTAAACACCACCTAAAAGAATTAAGAGCAATCTCTCAAACCCTTAAACTAAGTTCATTATCAGAATCTCCAAGTCCTCTCCCTGATGGTGCCGCTCTCAGCCTCAGCCAAGCAGAGGTGTGGTGGTGGAGCTGGGCTCTCAGGCCCCCGACTTGTGCACGCCGTTGCTAGGTCACTGATCTCAGCTCCCAGGCGAACGTTGCCTAGGGCCTTCCTACTTCCTCTCTTCTACTGTTTTCACTCTGGCTCAATCCCTCCATCTAACACTGACCCAGACCTCTGCAGTGGCCAGGGTCCTAGCCCAGTTCCTCTTCCATGCTTGGTTCTCTAGCCTCTACCATGGACAGCAGCCACTGGGATGCTTTTCAATTGCAAACCTGGGCTCTAGCTCTCTCCACCACTCCCTCGCTAACAGAGCTCTCAGCTCCCTGTTGGGCTCTCAACACTCCATGCCACTTGTCACTGTCCCGTATCTGCTCATGCTACGCCCTCTGCTCAGAATGCTCTCTCCCCTCCTTGTCACGTGGTTCTCTCAGGCACATCCTTGCAGGTTCCGCACCAGATTCCCCACACAAGGCAAGTGGGCCCTGACACAGCCCTCCTCAACACGTCCACTAAGCACAGGGCTCCTGGCCATTACTGAGCTGACCACTTTGACTAGCTGCCGGCTTGGTGGTCCTGACTCGCTCATTACCCAACACCTTTCTGGGGTTATAGCCTGAGACTTACTCACCAGGCAGGCAGGGATTTAATGAAGGTTTAGAGATCAAGGAGAAATGCTAAAATCATTTACTTTAGGCCAAAGGTATGTTTTTAAAAGATCAGTTCAAAATGCCTGCCACTTTGTTATTCTGGCAGCATTTTATTTTTCTCATCAGGAAAGTCAGCTGTGGGTCTTCGGAAGACGCTCTCCCAGAAGCTGAGAAAAATGCCCACCTGGGGGATTGCTCCCAAGAGCTCCTCCACGCTGCTGTGGCCGTAGGTCTTGGGCTGCAGAGTTTCTCCGACATACTTGGTGTAGGCCATGGAAAACTCATGAAGGAAGATCTGCTGGTAGTGGTAAGTATGAAGTAAAGACCGCACATTCTTTGCAAACAAATACAGACTTGTGAGCTTCACACATTCTTCTGTCTTATCATTAGTGAAAACCTGGTTAAAAAGAAAAGGTGGCATCAGAAATGTCAGTGACTGGCCCTGCCTCCTGGAAAGTTTTTCCTCCTGCTGAGGGAAAAGGCCCAGAGTCAAAGACGAGGAAGAAGGCAACAAAGATGACAAAGATGAAGATGATGATGACAAAAAAGACGAAGACGAAGACAACAGAGACAAAATGAAGATGATGATGAAGATGACAGCAAAGACAAAGAAGACAAAGATGACGAAGAAGACAAGATGAAGACAAATTAGACGAAGATGGATTAGATAAAGATGACAACAAAGAAGATGAAAAAGAAAGGAGGAAGGATGGAGGGAGAAAGGAAGGGGGGGAAGAGGAGGATGAGGGATTTATTCAAGGATTTCCTCCATGAGAAGGCTATAGCCTCCAGCAAACTTCAGTTCTATTTGCAAGTCTAAGACTGCAGAGGTCTGAAGAACGTGTGTGAGTAGAGAAGAAATCGGGGGAGGCAAACCGTGGTGGCAAATCACTGTACACACAGTGGACGCTGAGGTCATTAAACCGCATCTCCCAAATCAGTTTTCAAGAAACACTGTGATGGAGGATGACGCTAGCATTCTTTAAAAACACATCAAAAGCAACAAAAAACAAACACAAAACCCTTGTGTATATAGGGTAAGGAAGATTTCTTTACCACAAACCCTTTCAGAGTCTTTGACATGCTCTGGAATCGCCAGGAGAAGGGATATTCCCAATCTGAGCTGCCCAGGAAAAGTCCTCTGTCCTGGAACATCCATTAACACCGTCCAGAACTGGTGTTCTTAGGATAGATACTAACAGGGTTTAGAAAATGTTGGATTTCTATCATTTCATTATCTAATGATCTGTCCCATAGTTAGATGATAATGGTATATTATTCTTTTAAATTGTTGGGGCTCATCTGCTAATATCTTATTTAGGATCATTTTCTTGTAAGGGACTACCTTATGTTTTTGCTATTAAAGTTTATTTTGGCTTCATAAAAGTAAGTGGTAAGGTTTACTGTTTTCTTTTTTGGCAGCCTTGAATAGTATTTTGTTTCTTAGAGATGGGTTCTTGCTATGTTGCCCAGGCTGGTCTCAAATTCCTGGCTCCAGGGATTCTCTAGCCCCAGCCTTCTTAGTAGCTGGGATTACAGATGTGCACCACCTTGCCCAGCCCCAGAATGCATTTTTAAAAGTTGGATTTATCTAGTCTTTCAGGGTTGGTTAAAATTCCGTTGTTATCCCACTTGGTCCTGATGCATTTTTCAGTGGTAAATTTCTGTGATCTTTTATAGTCTCTTTTATGGTAACTGGTCTAATTTTTAACTTTTTGAGTGAATTTTGGTAACTTATTTTTTTCGAGGATTTCATTTATTTACTCTATGTTTTTATATCTATTGCCCAAGAATTGCATGCAGTATTCTCTTAAGATTCTGCCAATCCTGAAGTGACATTCTTGAAAGGCTGCCTGGGGGGTGGGCTGGCCAACCTTCCTTTCCGCGCTCGCCTCACTGATCTCTCACTTCAAGCCACCAAATAAACCAGCTAATTCAGAAAGACAAACAGCAGCAAAATCCATCCTGGAAGAGGACAAATGCATGCCAGTGTCAGGATCTGGAGACCAGGCTTCATTCTGGTTTCTGCCACTCATTTAGGCAGCGCTGCTTTACTGCCTGAGGTCGCAATGTGTTCATCTGTGAAATCTCTTCCAGCTCTCCACACTCTAAGCTATACCAGCAGGTAATCTACAAGTGCTCAAGCCATAGTCTTCAATAAGAGTTCTAAAGAACCATTAACATGCTCACCTCAACCAAGTACGGCAGGCTCTTCAGCAGTTCAGTCAAGGACATGAATCCGTATTCACAGGGGTTAAGGGGAGTATTGTGGGTACTTTCATAATGTCTCTTGAGCTCCTCAACAGAAAGATGCGTGGTTCCTTCCCAAGACATCAACAGTACCAGCAACTGGGCAGTGAGAGATCGCAGAGACTTTCGGTTGATCAGCTGAATCTGTTTGCCAGATTCTATATCGGTTACCTGGGGAAAACAAGAATTCACACTTTTCATAACTCAGGAGAGACAACGTAGGTTATACCTAACTCAGCTCATTTCATTTTGGTTAATGAGACCAAGAGATGACAAATCTTTAACTTTTTCTCTTACACTGAAATAAAGCAAGTGGATTTTTTTTTTTTTAGCTTCTTTGGGACACCAGACCAACAACGAAGCAGAAACTGTCCTCCCTGTGCTGGTCCACAACTAAAAGCTCTCATCAAGGTAATAATGAGGAAGGAAATTGCATCGTTCTCTTTATTTTTTCATTCATTCTTTCCATCCCCTCCACTGTAAGGAGGAGAAAGACTGGCCAGCTTACAGCCAGGGGCCCAAGCTTGTGAAGTGTGGGCTGCTGTGCTCGAGGTGGGGTGGGGGATGGGGAGGCAACACTCACATGGCTTCTGTGCAGACCCAACTTAGCCCACATGCATCTCCAGGGCTGGACTGGGAAGGTGAGAGAGGGCCTACTCTGACTACAAGGCAAACTGCATTTTTCTAGTCTGTTATTACCACAAAGCTGGTATTTTCATCTGACTAGTACCTGCCCACTCCTCAATTATTTCAGACCCTCAAGGAGATAAAAGATTTAGGTGGTTAAATGCATTGAGATGGAAACCTTGAAAAACAGACAGAGATTGTCATTTGGGAACCAAACACCCACATGAAGAAACATGCATCTGGTGACTGAGACCAGCAGGCCTTGGGTGGCGGGGCTGTCTATGGACTCAGCCTTTCCTGGCACAAAAACAGTTAGAGCTTTGGCACACGTGTGGCTCTGGCACTGCTCTCATAAACAATGCTTATCCTGACAGCTCGTCTGCCCCCTTTATCTGGTTTTCCTGCCAGGGCCAAAGGTCTTGGCAGGGCTAAGTTGGTACTCTTTGGAGCTTGGATTCTGAGAGGCAGAGAGAGGTGGGTGGCACCTGAGGAGTCATTCCAAGACCAGGGCTTCTTTATCTGGTTCTGCCAGAGCCAAGGCAGGAGGGAGGCTGGCAGGCTCCCACCCCACTTTCCATGGGTATGGGACTGTATAGATTTCCTCCTCAGAAGCAGGTTTAATCAACCAGTCGATATCAGTCCAGGGGATCCCAGTCATCTTAGCTACCCAGATCACCACTACCAAAGCCGCTTAGGAAAGAAACCAAACCAGAGTGTGCTCCTCTGGTGCCATGTGGATCCATCCCTTGATTCTCAATCCCGGCTACTATGAATTAGAATTACCTAGGGAGCTTTTAGAAACACCAATGCAGCCGGGCGCAGTGGCTCAAGCCTGTAATCCCAGCACTTTGGGAGGCCGAGGCGGGTGGATCACGAGGTCAAGAGATCGAGACCATCCTGGTCAACATGGTGAAACCCCGTCTCTACTAAAA